GAATACGGCTTGCGTAATGGCAGCTTGACCTTCGACCGCTTTTGGATAGGAATCTTTTTCGACTAATGTAATATACGCACCAGGGATCATGTTTTGTGCATTAATTTCTGCGACGGCCAATCGGATGGCGGATATGCCACTAAAATACATAAACTAAGTCAATACCCTTTTTTTTTTTTGTCGTTGTTATTGCATTATGGATTATACCTCATCGTCATAATTTTAGTTCTGTTATTATCGTTTTGATGAAATGGGAGCAAAACACCGACTTTAAGCTCGACTAAGGATTCATCTTTAAACGAAGGATTGATAAAAGTTGTACCTTTTCTCCTTGTCACAGAAAATGTGTAGTTGTTATATGCATCGTAGCAGTGAAATGGGCTGGAATTCTGTATATTATTTTCATCAATCAAGGATGGATTATTATAAAATTTGGGTTGCTCTACTGATGATACATTATTATCCATTATACAGATGACAAATAAAATAAAAAGTGAAAGGAAGAAAAAAAAAAAAAAAAAAAAAGGAACAAATCAAGGGAAGTAGATCAACAACACGTTATATACTTATTTTTGTATAAATATGTTTTAAAAGGGGAATGAAATAAGTAATTATAAAAATAAAAAAGGGATGTATGTTTTGCAGTGTATATGTGATTCGAATTGAGACAAGGGGTCTTATTGGTAAAAAAAAAAAAAGGATGCTTTACTGAATAAAAAGGGGACGGTTTAAACCAGGAGAAAACAGAAATTACTATTACATAATAAGAAGAGAGGGCTGGTACCCGATACTAACCTATTCTGGTTGTTACAATAGCTGCTAATAAGTTTATTCTGGTTACGGATCAAAACTTCATGTCACTCAGCCAAATATTTATATAGCATTCAGTTGAATCTGAATACCATCTAAAAAAAACAGTGCCTCAGTAGCTTGGGTAGACTCACTTCATCTTTTGCTATCTATTCTGGCATAAAAAAACAGTAGATCCTATCCAATCTTCAAATCATAAAGGGTCCGAGCGCTGGGGGGGGGGGGATAGGCTAAAAATTGCCTTTTTGGAATTTAGGTTAGATGAATACAAAAGGGAACTTTATTTAATGAGTTGAGGGGATATAAAAGGATTAGGATAATGATGGTAAACCGGTATTTTTCTTGTTTACACTCTCACAGTAGTCTCAACATGATAAATTGTATGCTTTTTTGCCTTGTGGCTTTGTGAGTACCCGAATGCTTTTTTCGTTCATTTTGAGTTTTGGAACTCGTCCAACAGGTCTATTGATTTAGCTGTGAGAACTAAAATTTGAACTCATCCAGTTTATCACAAAAGAAACAAGAAATGTGTGTCCACGAGAGGTTATTTCTAACTTCTTCGATGAGGTGTCATGAATACTTGGTTCAGTGGTGCTGGAGAATGGCTCAAGGGATCTACGATATCTTCAAGTCAAGTCTCAAGGAAAGAATATTTTCTTTTGTTGGTATATAAAATGATTCAAGGACCTTGGCTGAAAGCGTAACAAGATGTAACTTCCATACGTAAAGACATTTCGAAGTGCCTGTCAAATAATCAAATTCAAGTAAATCGGCTGGAATATATGATTATGTCACCTTTTGTGAGTACATTATGTTTTTATATGACCAAATTTGTCTGATCATAGTCATTTACCATCCGATCACAGTCATTTCTGGGTTAAGTAACCGCTGTTTCCCTTAAAATCGAAAGCAAGAACTTGATTATCAGAATCGTTAGTCAATGAATTGATGTATCTAACTATTTACACGAATTGATCCTTGCATTGTTGCTTTGTTGTTACATGATCACTGAAGCGGTTTCATCCTCCTTTTTGAATTTAATGCTACAAAGTTCAACTGTTCTCTTCAAGCGTTCACAACTCACCAACAGACCGATTCTTTGACCGTATTCCGTAAGCTCCTGCTCTTGATCCACAATGCTTCTAACAGTATTTTTTGTTGCTACAGAGATACTTTCACCATTTGACAGAATAAATTTCGTGTCATCCAACATACTTGGATAAACGTGGCAATTCTAAAGCTAATATATAAGCAAAAAAAAAAGTTTCGACTTATGAAGGGGTGCACGTGCTAGATGAAGCCAACGCTGGGTAAAATCATTTTTTCTTGGTGGAAACCTCTATCAAGTCTTCGAATTTTCAAGGATATGAAAATTCTGATTCCGATGCAGAGGTCTTCCAGAACTTGAACCCACAATCCCTGATAACAAAATAAGTATATTCATACTTTATGACAAGAATAACACAACTTACATGATTTCTACAACGTTCAACAGTTGATATTTGGCTGAAAGTTGTTCGGTCTCTTTATATTTCAGTTCTTCAATTTGCGTACGAAGCTGATACGCATCAACTTTCATTAAGCATGGGGTTTGAGGTCGTCCAGAAGTTTCACGATTTTAACATTCATAATTTCATCGTGGGCAATTAAGTCTGACGTCTCCTTTCTAGTACAATTGATGTTTTTCATTTCTGCGGGAGAAATCAGCTCATCATAAACGTCTCTCATTTTCGGACTAGCGAAATTCAATATGTTGGATAGAGAGAGTTTGAGTAATTCAATGGAAACACAGTCGACTTTATCTCGTTTTAAAATAGAGTAGACATTCTTGTGGGGAATATACTTTAAATTTGCATTGTCGTCTAGCCCAGAAGTTTGGATACAAAGAAGTAATACGAAGGCAAGTAGACGCACGTATAGCATCTTTCATCTATTCAAACCCTTACGGCTATTGGTTTGTGGATCGGTACATTATCCATAGCCATCCATTTCTACTGTAAATATGCGTAACTCGACTGTGATTAGGCGCCCATTTTCTGCTCTGAGTTCAAAAGTTTCATGATCGCCATCTCCCTGATCCTGCTCATAAACTCAGAAATCAATACAGTACTGATATCTCGAGTCCATCGATTTCTCTATCTCGTTCGCCTTCTGTGGTATATCCCTCTTTGCTTTCTACATCACTTACGCTTCGCAATAAGCTTGCGCTGAACTCTCAGCTTGATCACCCACTGCCTAGATTGAAGCGGCAGAAATCTGAGCTTTTGATAGTTTCCAAAGGAAAAATAAAAACGGCTTTACGTGAACACTATTACGGCTTTGGCTTGCGCGTATATTCATTCGAACACGATTTTTGTTTGTGTGGCACTAATTTAGAAAAAGTGAGTTAGTTCAAGTAAATAGCTTAGAGAACAAATTCAAGTTTACTTGGGAGGAGTTGGCGAGGCTGTTCTCACAGTTGTGTCAGAATTATTGTAGTAATTGATTCATTTAATCTGCAATTGAAGGCTGACCTTTTCAAAATGGACAATGTTTTAAAAGTAAAGTAAAGATCTTGGGTGGTTCTTACTGTATAGAACCTATACCCATATTTAATTTGTCACCCTGCCAGGCCAGATTCCATTGTATTGACTAGAAAACAGGTTTCGGTAAAAGTTTCTTTTGTAATGACTACTGACAAGTCTTAAGGACAGTTAATAAAAAAAAAAGTAGCACGGAAAATTTTGATTGAGCTAAAAAAAATTGATTTCTATTTTAGAAAATCTTGATTTTTAAACGCAAATGTATGTATGAAAGATGAAACAAGCAATTAAATCATCCTGACATAAGCTTGTTTATCAGCCTATAAATAAAGCTGGTTCACACACTTTATTCCTCCCTTTTTCTTTTCCTTTAACATACTTCTATCGAATGAAAGTAACCAATATTGTAAAAAGGTTAGTTAGTAATGACTCTTGTTTCTTTCGAAAGACGCTAAATCTAAAAAAGATATATTGGGGCTGCGGCTAGTCTTTGCTATAGGAGGGCGACCTCCCAGGCAGAGAGTTCTTGAGTTTTATAACTCACGAACCGTAAATGGCTGTGTTTGCACTGTAAATAGTTGTGATCATACTGGCTTGCTGGCTTTAACCAGAATTGCTGTAAGTGGTATAAAAAAAATACGTTTAAAAAAAAAATACGGAGGTCTAGACATTTCACATTTACTCACAGAACAAATGCATCTGTAGGTTGTTGAGAACGACGGGGTTTTCGTCGATGGTTCTGAGGAATCAGTTGGTACAATCATCAAGAATGCTGCCATCAGGAAGCATTCAATTTACCACCTTCTTGATTGAAACCAACAATCAATAGTATGGTATGTACTTGTATATTAAACAGTTTTTTTTATTTTTATTATTCTGATGTATTTGAAAACAGCCTCGGTTTAAACTCTATCATTGATCTTTCTGCCAAGCATCCTGAACGCCAAACGACGTTGTTTAGCAAAAAACAATGGATAGACATAACCAGCAAATGCCCTCCATACACGTTGGACGATACCTTATATCGTAGTGTTGACGAAGCTGTAAATTCATTTTTCGATCAGTATGATTCTAGACATTCTACAACAAGAAACTGGAATTCAATGTACCGGCAAATCATCACTCTTAAAGGCCAATATAATGCAGAATTGAATGATTCCTTTCGCGATATTGATTTCTGTATATATTTCTACGAATCACTTCTCATGCTGCAAAAATACCATGAGTGTCTTTGTTGAGGATATCATAGATACAATAATAAAGTTAATTGTCGCATCACATTAAGGATGGATAATAATTTAAAAAGTTAATCGTGAATCACACATTACCCCCGCTTATTCTCATTCTACCGTTGAAGTGTCTGTACACAGGGTACAACCCTGTGGCGAGTAAATATTTATTACTGTTGATCCCTCTGATTAATATTTATATACTCAGTATGGAAGGGCTAAATTTAAAGACATGTTGATTATTTATTATCACCAGGTTATTACATCATGATCTAATAAGGCGCTTAATATTCTTCCTGGAACTATCAAGTTCTTCATGTGAATATCCATAGTTTTTTCTCATAGACCATAATACGTTATCTTTTTTTTCGTCCATAATAAAGTGGTATTCAAGTTCTAACAGTATCACTTTAGGTTTTACTTTAATTTTGTTCTCCATGCAAAACATTGCTGATAAAGTATGTTTATGTAATAAATTTACTTTTTTTTAAATACACATTTACTCGGAAATGTCTAGAACTCCGTATTTTTCTCAAACGTATTTTTTAGAATCATGTGATGGTCTACACATAAGTCTTTACGTCGATTGACATGTCATATCGTCTAAACTTCTTAGGATCATTGATTTTTGCTTTCCAGAAAATATGCTTCACTGTCATTACAGGCTACTACTGGAACGTAGATAGACAATTACCAAGTTTTGATTTGCTTGAGAGGTTTGCATATGTTTCTATTTTAAGTAAAGACCCAGACATTATGAAAGATGAAACAGGTAATTAAATCATTCTGACATAAGCTCTTGTTTATCAGCCTACAAATAAAGCTGTTTCACACACTTTATTCTTCTCCCTTTTCTTTTCCTATAACATATTTTTTCTATCTTATGAAAGTAACCAATATTGTAAAAAAAAAGGTGAGTTAGTAATGACTCTTGTTTCTTTCAAAAGACGCTAAATCAAAAAAAAGATATATTGCGGCTGCGGCTAGTCTTTGCTATAGGAAGGCGACATCCTAGGCAGGGTTCTGGAGTTTTTCGAACTCACAGCCTGTGAATAACAGGTGTTACACCGTAAATGGTTGGACCTATACTGGCCTGCTGGTCCTGGCCAGGATCTCTGTAAGTCTGGTTTTAAAAAAAAAATACGGAGGTCTAGACATTTCCCATTTACTCACACAGAACAAATACATCTTTAGGTTGTTGATAATGACGGTGTCTTTATCGATGGTTTTGAAGATCCAGTAGGCACCATTATCAAGAGTGCTGCAATTAGAAAGCTTTCTTGATTCTACCGCCGGTAACGGTTTTATTAAACCCCCTACCGGCGGTAACGGTGTCAGCTTAGACCGATACCGGCCGGTTAACTTTTTTGGCGGTCTAAGCTTTACGGCTACCGCCGGAAAGTTTTTTTTCGTGAAAGAAGGCGTGAATTACAAGACGTTTTTATTGCTTTCGACATGGAGAAGCAAATGGAGGAAAAAGTCCAAATGAAAGAAAAACAGCTAAAAAAAAAATTAATTGAAAAAAAACAAATATCACAAGCAGATAGAACTGCTAATAAAGCATATTATATAATAAATTGATTTTTTTTAATACACATAAAGAGTTAAACGACTACCTAGATAGCTATTCTAAAAAATTGAACAACTGGTAAAGAAATATATACATTTGCAAGCAACCAACATCATGATCCTATCGATGAGTGAATTTAAATTGAAGTGGATCGATGAAAGCATTATTAGAGCTGCAGAACTATTCCTTTACAATAATAACCTAGAACTAAACGGGTACTCTGAATCTGATTTGCTGCATAAAGTATGGCCTTTTCGTTTACAGAGCTTTTAAAGATAGAAACATCAGGATTGTTCTTGGTGAGCCGAGTAGTATTCATTTAACCCAAGGCGGGAAACAAAGTATTTTTTAGATCCATTCCAAAGTCCAGTGTTGCTGTTTCTTCGAAAAGAAATGAAGAAAGAGGTTTGGAGGCGATGAATAAGAGACCCTGAAAAGCCACAGGTGCCAAAGCTGACATCTTATTTAGATATGGTAACTTAAAGCTAGGAGCATGTGAAGTCGGTAAAGATAATGTAACAATGGCCGATGATAACTAAATACATTGACGACGGTCTTTTCAAATTACCCAAGACACTCAAAGATATGCTTGCAACGTTCAGTCAAAAAAAAAAAAAAATCCAGCCCAACTAAATTATATTAGTACCGTGGGTTTCTTGATGATGGGTAAAATAGTATAACGTATAGGTATACAAATATTTACTAACAATTTAACTAGTTAGGCTTGTCGATGGAGCCCGTGGTCGTAGATTGCCCTTACGGTAGTGCAAGCAGCGCAGCCATTGAATATGTGTATTGCTCTTTTACTGCTAGGTATCTTTTTTTTCTTCTTCTTCTTCTTCTTACTTTACGGGCATCATGCTAATAATGTTTATTATATCCATATAAATGTGTGGGCGGGGATCGGACTGTATTTAATTAATATCGCTGAGCATGAGCATTGTGGAATTTGTCATGAGAGCAGGAAGAAGACATATCTTTAATGACAGCGCCTTCTTGGAATCAGAACTACTACTAAAAAAAAAAGTAACGGCTTGCGTAGAAGCTGTTACCCGATACTGACCTATGCTGGGTTGTTACAATAGTTGCTAATAAGTTTATACTGGCTACGACGGATCAAAACTTGTTACTTGGCCAAATATTTATATAGCATTCAGTTGAATTTGAATACCATCTAAAAGAAAAATCAGTGCTTTCATACCTTGGGAGGTAAACCCCTCTTCAACATATTTTGCTAAATCTATTCAAGATATAGACAAATTGGCAATCTTTTCAATGATAAAGGGTCTGAGCGGTAAAAAAAAAAAAAATTAGCTTTTCGGAATTTGTAGGTTTTAGATAGATGAATACAAAATAGTAACTTTATTTTAATGAGTTGAGGGGGATATAAATGGATTGGGATAATGATGATAAACCGGTATTTTTCTTGTTTACACTTTCACAGTAGTCGCAACATGATAAATTGTTTTCTTTTTCGTCTTGTGGCTTTGTGGGTAACATATTTGGTGTAAAAATCGATGATGAGGCAGTGGAAGTGGTATATAAGGAAGATGTTGTTAGGGATGGTATATCATCCATGAGCGATATCTGTTTATTGAATGTGATGGAAGATGTTTTTGGAGCAAAGAAAGATTGAAAGTTATGGCTTGAATCACTGTCGGCATCTCTTGAATAGCAATCTACAGAGCAATATAAAGAGTCCTACGAAAAGAACATCAGCTCAATGAATAAATGAGATAGGTTGAGGGTTGGATTTACTTACGGATTGACAAGAGATGGCTTTATCACAGACAGTACACCAATTTAAATCGCACATATTTTGTATAAGGTTTATAAGAAAGAAATGTGGTTGATGTATTGAGTATATTAAATTTTTTTTTTTTTTTATTCATGTTCAAAAATTTTTGAAGCTATCATCATAATGGAAAATTTTCGTGACTGTAATGACAGAAATTTTATTCTTCCATGTTATCTGCTTCAGTTTGGTCTTCAGGTTTAGGAGAAGAAGGTTTAGAAATATTGACGAGATCTGCGGCTAATTTAGTTTCGATGATTGAATTTCCGTTAGCTGATTGGGATGTGGATACAGTGGCGATATCCGCTACGACAGCCATCTCGTTATTCGTACTAGTTGTGACGGGTATACTATTATTCATCATCATCATCTCTTGGGTCTCTGCTACTTGATTCTCTTGTTCGGATTCTGTTTGATTTGGGTTGTAAATGTTGCTAGCCATTTGCCAGACTTGTACAATATTGTCATCAGCTGTACTAGATAACACCCAAGGTTCTGCAGGATTCCAACCAAAGTCTGAAATTTTATTTGTATGACCGCCGTGCATAAACTATTTTTAAAACAAAAATTTTCAGTAGAGTGGTCAATGCTAAATATTCAATCTATATATATATATATAATTACGAGAAGTTCAGGTGGTCCATCCTCAGCTTCTTCAGGTGTTTGAGGTGTATCAATTTTAGAAAGGTCCCAAACAAGGATTCTTCTATCACTACTAGCTGTTGCCAAGACGGAATCGTGGTGTGGTGACCAAGCCAACTGAAGAATTTCAGACTGATGAGCTCTTAAACTATGTAAAGGTGACTTGAGGTTACGCAAATCCCATAATGCAGCAGTCTATAACAGGTTTTTTTTTTTTAGTTTTAAAGTGATGTAACTTCATTATTTTTTTTTTACCTTATCGCCTGAACCCGTTGCAAGTACCCATTCACTACTAGGTGCAAAGGCAACACAGTTCACTTCGGCCTCGTGTGCTTGAATATTATGGATTGGCTTATTCGAATCGTTTCTTGCATCCCAACTGGACAGATATCATTTTTAATATATATTGTCAAAGGTTCCCCCCACACACACACACGTTTAAATTTAAATCCTTACATCATTAATCTGGCATCATCTCCGACAGAGGCAAATATCGATTCGAACTTTGTATGCCATGCCACATCCTATTATTTATCAAACGAATCAATCTAGTATCCCATCAAGGGGGAGGGCCCTAAAAAAAATGGAAAATATATGTACCTCAACACCAGTTGTATGTGCCGAGTATGTACGAATGGGTTCTAATTCGCGGTTCTCTTTGGTAGTTCCTCCAATATCCCATTGACAAATTTTAGAATCAAAGCCAGCACTTAATAAATGACTAGCATTATGCTTATGAGGGCTCCAAGCTAAACCATAACTATTATATAAAAAAAAATAAAAAAAAATTAAAGAGGGACCTTATTAGTACTGAATAAGACATAGGGAGGAGAGTCCTGCCTTTTTTTTTTTTTTTTTTTACCCTTCCTTATGATGTCCAGTTAATCTCAAGGTGGGGTTAAACTTTTCGTTTTCTTTAGGCATGGGCTCAAAAGTGGTGCGATCGAATACGTAAACATCACCTGTTCTTGACTTTGTTGCAATGATGTCTGGGTTTTCAATTTGGTAACGAGCTCTGTTGACCTCTCCATCATGAAGGATCTTTTGTGTAATCTTTATAAAAGTTTCATTCTCCTTCTCGTCTGCACACAGAAAGGTAAGTACAGAAAAAGTAGTATAAAAGTGGGGGGGGGATTATTTTACCGGCAAGTTCTTCCATGGGAGTGTCTTCGGATTTGTTTTCTTTAGGGAATCGAACGGAAGCGATTTGTAAATAGTTGGGTTCGTCGTCGTTTGTGTGTGTTCCTAATAATAAACGTTGCGTCTTGTAGTTTTTGTCAGGAAGCCTATAAGAAAGAGGGGAATGTTATTGAGGGGAGGAGGTCAAGATGAGGGTGTGTTTCTTGTTTACTCTTCTACGTCGGGAAACCATTGACAGGTCAAACTAGGCCATTCTAACGCGTGTGTGACAACAAGGTCATAAAGAAAAGGCGAGTTCTTTTTCCACATTTTATACTCCTCGTTAATGAGTTTCTCATTCTCTTCCTCTGTTCTACTTTCAAGTTCTAATAAGAATATACATTAGACTTCTGTCTCTTTTTTTTTTTTTTTTGTCTTGACTAGTTCATTGGATTTCTTTTCTTTTACCGTAATCCATGACGCGCCACTAAAGGTTTTCTTTTTTGGTTGCAACTGGGGGATAAACAAAAAGGAAAATCGTTCAAAAGATGGTGTTTTCCCCCGTCGACCCAGTCACAATCATTGGTGACACCCAACGCGTGATTTTTTTTTTTTTCTTGCTTTCCCTTTTTCCTCCCCGCGTTATATATATATATAAAAAAAAAAAAAAAAAATTATGACCAGTGCAGCCGTCAAACGAAGATTGTCAGACACAACCAATGTGCAACCCAATAAGACAATAAAGACAGAAGATAAAGAACATCGCTTAGAACATGTGTTTGAGAATATGAGATTAAGAAGAATTGTCAAGGAAAACCATGGTGGAGATATCAACCAACTTGCCTTCTTTTTCAACAACAAAAACTTTAATGCCCCTTTTGGTCTTGATCAGGTCAAGACATTTGATAAGCGTGGTGCTGTTCAACGTGAAAGTACAGATACCAGTAATATATTGGCCACCGTGGGTGGTTGTGAGGTAAAAAAAAAAAAAGAAACATACGGCTCCCCCCCCCCCCTCATATATACTTTTGTTAAACCCCATACCATTATAGCTTAGTATCTACGATAATGAACATTGTGGTGACCATTTGGATATCATGTCCAACTTTGACTTGACACCACCGTCAGCAATGAACGATGAAGAGGAAACGAGTAACAAGACAACGCTGGAAACATTTTGTTGGTTGTATAGGGAAAGAGACGGTTTATTAGCTGTGGGAGGAACCGATGGCCTTGTTCGTATTATTAGTGTTGCTAATTCGGAAGAGATCAGTATATTGAAAGGACATACCAGTAAGTAGCTAATATTGTGTCGATATATTCGATTTTTGAGACCACTGACAAGATCATCCTATTATTAGAACTTATTTACGATGTACAATCACACCCCCAAAGCGACAACATCATTTTATCAACATCAAAGGATGGAACGGTCAGATTATGGGATGTGGATCAAAGTAAATGTATAGCGATTTTTGAGGCTGATGCCACTGTCACTGTATGCTATTCAAAGAAAAAGAGAGGAGGAGGAGGGAGGATAGACAGGGTTTTGATATACTAAAATGTGTCTTACATAGTGTTTTAACCCTTCAGGCGAATCATTTGTATCTGGTAATGCAAGAGGTGAGATTCGTGTGTGGAATGTTCCTTCAACAACAGAGACGATGGATGATGAGCCAATTACTGTTCAAAAGAAGGATTCACATCTTGTGAGAAAGATGCATGGTGATAGTTATATTGGTAAGGAGGGGGGAATCATTTACCTACTTTTTTTTTTATCATTAGGTAGGAAATACTCATATCCCTTTCTTATAGATTGCATTCGCATGGCCAACGGTAACGTGATGACAAAATCCATTAATGGCAAAATTGAATGTTGGAACTTGGAAACCGAAAAAGTAAGACAACCTTACATAGATACTGCAGAAAAAAAAAAATGAATTAAATAAGCCCTGATATTTTTTGTATGAAATTAGACGGTCCGATCATATAAAATTAGAACGGGTGAAAACTATTGTCGATTCGATGTCAGTTTGGATGAACTTTTCTTTTGTGTTGGATCGAGCCAGGGTATGGTTTATGTGTATAATATCAAGACAGGCAAAATCGTGACAGAACTGGGTCATCGACGAGCTACCAAGGCTGTGAAATGTTGCGTCTTCTCTCGTGATTCTCGGTAAGATTCAAAAAAAAGAAAAAAAAAACTGTTACTCATTATTGCCTTACTAGTCAAATTATTACTGGTAGTGAGGATGGTTTTATTATGAGATATGATTACATTGATAGTGATACACTTGCAGAGTGGAAAAACTGGACGAGGGACGATTAAATTCCTTGTGCCTTGTTTTTTTAAAAAAAAAATAATTACTCAATAAAACCAAATTGTAAATACTTTTTTTTTTTTTTGTATCTTCTTTTTTGAGTTGGAACTTACAAAATGGACAAGCAAACTAAATATGTGGAGTGTCGAAAACGAAATGAGCAACAGCTTCTAAAAATAAGAAGCCTTGGTACACTTGAATCCTGCTTTTTTTTTTCAACTGAACACGACCTTCATTAAACACACACACATACACCCCTTTTCTTTATTTAGAGACCCAAATTCTCCATGCAAAGCAGTTATTACAACAAGAACACCAAGAGGCCACGGCAATACGAGATAAAAATAACACCTATAAAGCAATGACCCTCCAGCAAGAACAGTACCAACTTCAATTATCCGCCGCCCACGACAGAGCCTCTTTAATAACTCCCTTAGCAAAACCATTGCCCATCGGTAGTAAGCGCGACCTGACGGAAATACTCGCCATTACCCATGAAAAGATTTACCAAAAGATACACGATCTGATCCGTACCCAATGGAACGATAATCGATCCTTGCCAGCTTCAAAGCTGTCTGTGATCAGACAACAAATTTCTCGTTTACCCGATTTGCCATCGGAGCAACCGCTTCTTGAGATAAGTGAAAGTCTCCTATCGTCCTTGCAGGATCTCCATGCCCAACTTGAACTGTCTTACCACTTGCAACATCAAGGCATTGACCAACAAAAGAAGCAATTCATAAACGAGTTTCAATCGCACCGTCTGGCAAAGACCGCTTCGTTGCAAAAGACACTGGAAGAACTGAATGAAGAATATAAGGAGTCGGAAAAGGCGTTGGTGCAGCGTGTAAGGGAATTGTATGACGACCCAGCTATTCAATCACTCGTAATGTAATGCATCTTGATTTTTTTTTTCTTGTATTCAACCCAGTAGTTACGGGAGGGGCTGATCATTTTTATGTAGTAAATCCAAGAGACTGAAAGCTTTAACTTGTCGGGTGAAGACCGAATTAGGTTATATGGCACTTCAACCTGACATTTTATTCAAGCAAATTCAAAAAATCGAGAGCCAGGATCCACCACCAGGAGTAGTAGTGAAAAAGGACTCTGTCCCGCTAGAAGAAATTATAGTAAGTCTCTTTTTTAAATGCAATGAAACGAGTTAAAAAAAACAGGGCCCTTTTTTTTAAAAAAAAAAGAAAATGAAAAACAGGGTTTAAAAGATAAGATTTTATTGTTGCTTGAAACAAACAAACAAATTCATGAAGATTTAACAAGACAATGGAAAGAAGTAAGTTGCATACTTCCAAAATAAAAAGAAAGTCTAATGAGGTAACCCTATCGCTACTAGATAAACAAAGGACGCCTCACACAAGTGGATCAATGTATGGAAAGAATAGAGACAGCAAAATTGAAAATCAAGAAGGATAAAGTGGTTCAAGAAATCGATAGCATGACACCCAATGAACTATTGGAAACAAAAAATGTCATGAGCCCTCATACCTCTATCGTATGCCTTGTCAAAATAAATAAAGTAGCCGTACTAACTTTTTTTCTTATAGTCGACTATTCAATTGGTCAATAAAATCATGGAGTCCATCCGGTCTGGTAAAAAAAAAGTCCTTTTTAAAAAAAAACACATGCTGATGAACTGATATTGGGTGCTGTAGTGAATGAATTTGAAAAAGATGGGATTGCACAAGTATGTTCTGATATTAGGAAAACATTGGATTCTCTTTTAGAGAAATGGAGTACGTCCTTAGATAAACAGGATATTCCAATTTTAACAAGCGTGCCTACATGTCACGATGGAATTGACAATGTGATACAATCCATCGATGCCATACGATGTAAGTATGATGTTTATTTAATCTTTATTCGGTGTATTCAATTAAATGCTATTAGTGAATTTTCAAGAAAAGGAACGCTCTTATAAGCAAATCCAGCAACAAAAATTTCAAACATTGCTTCAATCCACAAATACGATTGAAAATGAAATTCTGCATACAGAAAATGCATTAGAAGAACGGTAAGATTATACATGTTCTTGTTTTCCACCCTTCACTCACCCCCGCTCTCTCCTCAGTCAACTGATTTCAAAAATCGGTCAATCTTTTATCATCAAAAATAAATCGTTTGATGAATGGTTGGACGAGCTTGAAAAAAAGAATTAGTTTATGTCTGCAGTTTATTATTATTAAAAAATAGAAGGTCCTACCCTTATCATCAAACAGATACTAAAAGGTTATTCGCTATAAAATTATACAATCACAACATTTGGAGAATTCACAAGACATTTTTTTTTGTTATTATTATTATTTTGATAGAGAAGATTAATAAATTAATATGAAGGGTTAAAAAATAAATATAAAGTGGGAACATTAAACTAGTATCTCTTTTGGAACTTGATATCCAATGCTTGAGGTGCAATGATACCCACACCAAAGCAAACCACACGCTCTTTATGAATAGAATTCTCGGGAGTTTCCCAAGTATACTTGCGCACTTTATATATATATATATTTAAACCATGGTTAGTTTCTTTTTTTTTTTACCTTGCACAGATGAAAAATAATTAAATTTCTACTTACATAACATGGAAAGCATGACACGTTGTTCACTTAAACTGAAATTCATACCGATACATTGTCTTCCTCCATTACCAAATGGAAGCCAAGGCAAACCTTCTCCTACCTCTCTGACGGCTTCTCCATCCTCTGCGAATCTATCGGGATCAAACTTTTGAGAGTCCTTCCAGATATTATCATTGTGTTGGATATCAAACATGTTGACGGTGATCCATGTTCCCTTGGGAATAAAAGTATTGGACAAGTAAGTGTCTTCTGTTGCCACACGAGGTAAAATACGAGGTGTGGGGCCATTGATACGAAGTGTCTCCTTCATTATTTGATTGATATACGTCATTCTTCTGGTCTCTTCAAGTGTAGGTAAGACATCCTCGGGCTCATCGCCCAAGATATGAATGGCTTCCTCTCTTGCCTTTTGTTGAATATCCTAAATCCACAAAAAAAAATATGAATACTCTCTTTTTCCCCCTCTTCTTGCTTTTGTTTACTCACGGGATTTTGTGCCAAATAATGGATTGCAAAAGCTAAAGCGGATGAAGTAGTATCATGACCTAATTATTTGTATTGTTAGTAGCATGCCATACAAAAAAAAAAAATGTGTGTGCATTTTACCAGCCAAGAAAAAGACACACAAATTACTCTACAAAAAGAAAGAATCAGATGAGATTTATGAATATGGGGGGGGGGGAATGACGTTAAAAGGTTACCTTTAATTCTTCATTATCCATGATTCCTTCACCTCTCTCTTCAGCTTCAATCATGAGACCTAATAAATCTCTTTCGTTTTCTTCCAAGGCATCATTTGTCACACCTTGTTTGATGGCAGCGCGCTTCTTTGCGATTACATCATCCAGCATGCTCAAAAAGATATCGAGTTCCTTATGAATCTTGGCACGTTGAGGGAACCAACTAAGCCATTTGGTGTCAAAGGAAGGGAAGAAATGGAATTTGGGGTCACGTAAACCGAGATTGATTTGACTGTAACGTTGAACCCATTCGTTCTTTTCGTCAGTGAGGGCGTTAAAGTCGAAATCTAACGGTGTGTGTGTGATTAAGTATGACTAGGCTCTCTCTCTCTCTCTCTCTCTCTCTAATGAGTGGATAGTTTACCAAAACCTGCTTTTCCAATGGCATCCAAAGTCCAACGTTCTAATAAATCAGTGATGATGATGGTTTCGCCCATACCTTCCATGACCTTGAACATATCTTGGGTTAATTTTCCAAACAACTTGACAGGCATGGAACGATGGAAAGCGGGATTAGCAACTTTTCTTTGGGCCTTCCATTCATGACCGTTGAGAACCAACATATTGGGACCACCAATAAATTTACCCTGGATGGTCTCCTTGTGTCCGTTTTGTGGTACAACCTTTGGAAACAATTCTACAATAGTAGGAATTTTTAGGTTGGATCACATACCTTCCACTTTTTTTTTTTTCAAAACTTACCTGTCTTTAAGAAGAAACGCTTTGCATCTTCGGGGTTAGCAATATGTAATGCCCAGCCAAATCTGCCTTGCTCCTGTATTATATCAAAATATAAGTAACTGGGGGGAAGTCTTTTTTTTTTTTTGAAGTGTAAATAAAAATCAAACCATGAAAAGTCCAGGATGTCCCTTCTTGGTGAGTTCAGGGAGATGAACACGGTAAGCACGGTCCCAAACGGGCTCATAGACCAATGAGGACCAAACAGCGCCCAAGTGGCCAAAGTAAGGGATATGACGAAGCTTTTTGGGGGGTTTAAGCAGTTCAGTGATAAAATAAACAACCGACATGGCAACAGCGGCACTAATGGCGATGGATTTATTCTTTTTTGTTAATCTGGGTACGATGTGCTTGTTAAAGATCACGAGTGCGTTTTCCAACGGCACTTTTAAGAATTCATGTTGTAAAAGAGACATGGGTTAAGTTAATGTAACAAAGAGTTGGGGGGAATGCGTGAAATGAGCATCAAGATCAGTATGTTTTTTCCCCCTTTTTATAACCATAACTTAAAAGCGGGCAAGCAATATATTTAAGCTTTTTTTTTTTTTTTACTTTTTGTATCATGGTTTTGAGAATAACCGACCCAATGAAATAGACCTTTTTGTCTTACAAGAATAACATGGAATTGAAGTAGTGAAATAAGCACATGTTTTTTATTTGTATTTTGTAAGGCAGTACAAAGGTTATCTGAACCTTTGACATGATGGATGGTAGGGACTACACTGGAAATGATACAATGCAAAAATAAGTTGGACAAAAGGAAAAAAAGACTGTCAAAAAAAAACAATGGGCCTCCCTCAATTTTTATAAGAAAAACCTCTTGCGAGTAATTGAAAGGTCGATCCAAGGTCAGACCCTGACATAGTGCATGGCGTGCATACTTATTTGGGCTGTTAAGATTAGTCCGTGCTGCACTGAGTAACGTTGGACAACAACCCTTTTTCCGGAAGATCTTTTTTTATTTTTTTGTACATTTATTTATGGATGAATCCGAGAAAAAAAGGCAGTAAAGAGGAATCCCCTCCTAGAAGTCATATTTTTGTGTTTCTTTGTACAGAAAAAAAAAAAAAAATTAGTTTGAAGCTTGAGAAAAATATAAAACAAGGCACTCTTTAGAAAAAAAAAAGAATAAATATTAGTTTACTTAATGCAAAAAAAAAAAAAAAAAAAAAAAAAAAAAAAGTTGAACCCGTTCCTAAGTCCATAAGAATGAGTTAACTGCCTCGACCTTACTCTTTTGTTTTTATATTGGACGTTTTACAGACAAGTCAGCCTCGCTTGAAGACACACGTTTGTGACGTACTGTGTTCATTCTTTTATCCACATTTGGGTCCTTCAGCGACCTCCATACGCTTATTAAATCCTTTGAATAGACTCACTTCATGTCAACACACATGTATCTTTTGGAGAGGGCTTGTCTAGGATAGATTGGTCTCAATTTGAAACAACACGGTACAATATCAGTTTCTATATATGTATTAGGGTGAAAAGACGGATTTTAATCTTTATGAGACAGCATGATTTTTACTCACTACTGCCTATTATATAAAAAAAATGAAAAGGGGAGAGGGGCGGGGAGGAGAAGGATTCTTTTGTTGCTAAATAGGTGTAGATGGAAAATACTTAATGTATGACCAAAAATATATACATGTGAATAAGAAAAAAGAAAATTGCCTTGGCAAACTCTTTATAAAAAAAAGTCTTTCTAGATTGACATTTACTACCGGTTTACAATAAGTTTAGGAATATCTGGGAAGGCAAAGACGCTATTTATAAATTGTAGAAAAGAATTTTGCTGAAAAATCAATGCAAAGTCTTTACATTATGTGCTACAAGAAAAAAAAGGGAGGGTCTATTGTCTTCTTTTACCGCTTGGCACCCTCCCAATCTGTTGCTCCTCCAAATTGTCTTGTTCTTTAAAAAGAAATGCTCACCCCCCATTTCTACAGCGGAAAAAAATAGTACTGCATCTAAAAAAAATCACTGTAAAAATTGATGGGTTGACATGAATGACAATTCACAAAAAGTACAAAAGAGAATTAAATAAAAGAAAAAATGGGATGACCGTAAGTGTGTATGACCAAAAAAATCTTTTTTTGGGAGGTGAAAAGTGATAACCTCTTTTGTCCGCTGTACTTCCCAAGCCTATATATACGAAAATTTAATGTAACTTTTTTAAATGAACCCAAAGAAAGATTGGATTTTATTAAAGTGGTACAGTGCTTCGATTGGTAATTGCATCCCTAATAGAATAAAATTAAAATTAAGTTAGAACACAAAAATATGCAACCTGTCCCTCCTCACCGTCAATTGGTCACTTTCTTATAAACTACGTTTAAACAAAAAACTGTTTATAAATAAACAAAAAGTTGAGGCAGAAAAGGATGTGACGAAAACATAAAGCGAGTGCTGAAAAACCTTAATTATAATCACTGAATAAGCATGACTTCCCCTCCCCCAGTTTAGTTGATACATTTACTGGCTTTCGTACTGCTCATTTATCATGATAATGGCCTCATTTACTTTTTTTTTTTTTTCCTTTTCGTTCGACGGGTATGCCGATTATTTTCCGAAGAAGTCAATAGGGTTACTGTTTGTGCCTTACTGTCTGAATTAAATTTATATATGAATATGCTACTTGAAGCCAAACCATCTTCATGGATGATTTGAAGGACCTATAATTTCTTGTTTCTGTCGTCAATCCAACGTACGGTAGTCATGGTAGTTTTTCGTACAAACTACACAATAAAATTGTGGGTTTTATTATAAATGCTCTGGGCGCCCCTTGTCCGTACCAGTTCCAAGTTGGTTGTGAAACCAAAAGAAAAAAGGCTATGCTTGCCGTCTTTATTATCAAAACAGATGATCAAGTAGAAATGAGTTACGTGACTTGCATAGGATCGCATCTGATGAAAAAAATCTGTGATTTCAGATTTTAAAAAAAAAAGCCCTTTTTTGATAAAGTCGTTCACTTCATCCTATAAGAACATCTCCGTAGTTACCTGTAACAAAAAAAAAAGTTTTTGGATCAAACGTACAGTAGACAAACAAAAAAAACCAAAAAAAAAAAAAAGAAGAGTAAAGCAGCGTTTGAAAGCTTATTTACGTGTGCATGAACGAAAATTATCCTCAATGATCTGACTGTCATCTTCGAATTCTTGTTTGAATATGTTTTTTTTTGTATATCCTCCAGCCACGACATTATACCCCCTTGCTGCCTATGGAAACTGGAAATGTGGGAGTGTATATTATTCGAGCTAGAAGGAAGAACCTAGTTGAATAAAGCTTGGCTAGATTGGCTGTTGCAATATTATTGAAATTAGGTCCTGAATGAGATGGGTGCCACTGTTACTGATATCATTGTCATTCAAAGCTCTGATTTAGTAATAGGGGATTGTAATATCTCATTCGTGCTAAACCTCTTTTCAAGTCTAGTAAATCAAGAAAAAAAAATCATTCATGCATTGAAAGACTCTCATGTTTTACAAAATAAAAAGGGGACGCCGTTTATCAAATTGTGCATTAGTTTTTTTTTTAGATGGATTGGGTTTACTAGTTGGGATTTTGATAAGATACAGCCAATGTAACAATAAATACAGATTAAATACACTAGATGAAAAGTCATTCTTCAAGAGGTCTTTTTTTTTTAAAAATCAAAGCCTTTTTTGACAGCAGAAGCATATATACACTCTAGTCAAACAAAGTGACGTGAAACGGAGTTTGGATAATGAGGCAAAAAAAAAGACTTGCTTTTTTTTTTTCATAAACACATTTTTTTTTTTTCATTTCTACTAATTGTTGAATAATTAAGAACTAAAAATGTCATCCAAAGTGCAAAAGATTATGGTTCAACCCATTGTAAGAATCCACGTTACTCTCCTTCTTTATATTACCGTGCTTATTATTAACCTCTTTTATAAAAAAAAAAAATAGAATCTGATTTTCAGATACCTTCAAAACGTAAGAAATGAGAGATCAATCGCATGTTTGTTTTTACTAATATTTTTTTGTTTTTTTTTACCATCCTGTAGAAATCCAGAGTTCAGATCTGGTTATTCGATAAGACTGATATGAGAATTGAAGGACAAATTATTGTAAGTGGGGACTTCATCCCTTGTTCTTCATTATTTTAAACGCGCGTTTTTTTCTTTGGGTTAGGGTTTTGATGAGTTTATGAACTTGGTGCTTGAAGACGGTGAAGAGTTTGATACCAAGAACAATACAAGAGTCAAAATTGGTAAAAAGAAGCTGCATATTAAGTTGAGAATAAAACGGACTAACAGAGAGTTATATTAGGTCGACTCATGTTGAAGGGAGATAACATTACTTTAATACAAGGTGTTGACAATTAAGGCTCACCCCCCCCCCAACCCCCTTTTTTTTTAACCAAAAAAATATTTTATCCCCTTTTTTTCTTTTTTACAAAATAAAGAAAGAGAAAGAAGCACATATTACAGCGAGTTATATCTTTTTGAAGGGGCTCCTATGTCATATCTAGTGGTGCTTGTCATGCGACGGGGAAAAAAAAGCCAGTCAGCCAGCCGAGGGAAAATATCGCGTGAACAAATGTAGGTTAATTAGAGTGGAAAAGGATACAAAATGCAAAGTGAGAGAGAAAGAGAGGTGTCCGTGCACCCTAGGCTTTTTACCAGTTAAAATGAGATTTGGAAAGGGGGGAGAGAGAGAGAGAGATACAGCACGGGTCGGAAATCACGGTCCATATGACCAAGTATGTGAGGGGTATATAAGGGGTGTGTCTATGTGCTGTCAGAAAATATGTCAATGTATGAAAAAAAGAGAGGGGTGTGTGTGTGTGTGTGCGTGGATAATGTATATTCCATATTGCGACGGTTAATCTATTTTGTTTATCAGCGCAACCAAAAAAGTCGCGTCGGATGAAGAGAGAGAGAGAGGGGAGTATAGTGATTTTTTTTTTACACGGGGTTTAGAAAAGGCGGACATAAGCTGAGAGTTTTAGGAAAAAGGAGTGTTTCATTTGATAATTTCGATTATCAAATCATTTTACACACACAGAGGCAAAAAAAAAAAATAACAAACATCAGATGAAACTCTTTCTCTTTCTCTCCTTTATTTACCATCTTACTGGCCCTGTGTGTGTGTTTAGATGGCTGTGGCGCTTTTTCTTTTTTTTTTATTTGTATAAAAAAATAAATATTTATTAGGTACACGCCACATCCTTTGACGTGCTTAAATTTCTTTTGAAGCACTTTTTTATAAAGGTGTGACACATATTCGTTTCCAATCCGATCTACAATTGCCAAGTGTTTTACAATAAAACCCATTCGCGCGCGCCATTTACCATCGAGAAGGAAAGTGACACAGGATGAAAAAGGGCGATGGGAAAAAATCCCTTTTTCCCATCGTAGTACAATGATTAATCTATTTTTCATTTTCTTTAAATTACATTTTCAAATTACAAATGCAAGGGGGTTTATAGAATTATCCCATCATATTAAAAAAAAAAAAAGAGAGAGAGAGTTATTTGTTTAAATAAAAAAAAAGTAGATTATTATTATTAAAAGAGTACAAGAAGGGAAGGGGGGGGGGATTTAAAAAAAAAATATGAAGTTTTTTTTTTTTTTTTTTTTTTCAACAAAAAAGAATTTTTTTTTCCTTTTTCAATTTAAAAAAAAAAAAAAACTATTTAAAGCAAAGCAGCAGCAACGGCACCGGCAACAGCCATGGCACCAACGGCAGCAACGTTCTTGTTGGCACCGGAGGTGGCAGAGGCAGCAGGAGCAGAAGTAGAGGCAGAGGCAGAAGGCTTACCACTAGCAGCGGCAGAAGAGACAGCAGCGGGCTTACCAGAGGAAGCAGCAGAAGCAGCAGGTGCAACAGCAGCAGAGGAAGAAGCAGCAGCAGCAGGAGCACTGGCAGCTATATATACAAAAAGAACGAATTAGTCTCTATTCATTGGTAATTGAACATTTAATAAAAAGTCATACCGCTAGAGGCAGGAGCAGCAGCACCACCGGTAGCAGCTTGGATGGTGAAGAAAGGAGAGTAGGTATCATTGGGAGAAGAACCGAAAGAGAGAGCATCTATAAAGGGAATGATTAGGACATAAATAATTGATGTGTTAAAATGTGATGTGTACTTACAATCGGTACCGGCAGCAAGGTCAGCGGGAACATTCCAGGTATAAGTACCAGTGGTGGCAGGGACAGCAGTAGCAACGGTGTTCAAGAAAGCTAAAGCAACTTGATCACCCTTACGAAGGTCAATGGTGGAAATAACACCATCAACAGGAGCCCAGACAATTTGAGTACTGGCACCAGCAACAATAACTTGGTTAGAAGCGGGTCTGCTGGAAACAATCTTTTGAGCAGAAGCAACGGCAGCAGCAACAGCGAAAATGGCGGCGAAAATAGACTTCATATTTAATTAAAAGGAAAGTTGTATTAGGAGATGTTAAAAGAAGAAGAAAGGAAAAAAGATATTTTTTTTAACTTTTTATATAATAATAAAGGGGACAAGCAGTGGGGGAGATTGAAAATGGATTTTTCAACCTCTCTCCCCGGGAACATGTCACACAAGAAATTAAAAATACCTTTTTGTTTGTGCTCGCACATACCCTTTTTCAGATTTACCATGAGTTAAAAAAAGTGATACCAAATAACCCTTTTTAAGATTCCGTCATCATTTTCCAAAAGTTTCAATAAAAAGGAGGTTCCCCTTTCATTTCTTCTTCTTCTCTTTATTGTTCAATTATGAGCTCATCTTTTTCACTTGTGAGCAAACAGTCAAAAAAAAAAGAACTGCTTCCAAAAAAAAAAATCATAAAAAAAAAAAAGAAGCACTGTGTTCCCCTCTTTTTTTTTTTTTTCTTAAGTAGGCAATAAAATAAAATAAAAAAAAAAAATGGGTGCGTGTATACCAAGATTATTATTTTTCTTCTCTTTTTTTCTCTCTCTCTCTCTCTCTCTATTTTAAATTTTTTTATTTATTTTTCCCCATCTCTGCGCATTTACACATAAAAGCACATGCTGGAAGAAGAAGAGTATGCGGATGGAGAGAGTTTATTTGAACAAGAGTTTTCAGAACAAGACGTACTACCATTTTTGTTACAGGCACAAGATATCATTTCTAAACTTGAGTCGAGAGTTGTAGAGTTAGAAAGCGATTTATCCGTGAGTGTTTCCCTTCTTTTTTTTTTTTTGTCTTTCTCTAATAATCCTCATTTAGACCATCCACCGTAAATATGAGCATGACCGCCACGATTGGCTGGTAGGTCTCTCACAAAAGGATCAATATATTAATCATCTATCGGGTAAGCTCGAAAGGAGCGAGTTCAACACCAAGGAAACCATTGTTTTATTATCCGAACTAGCTACAGACGATATCGATGGAGAATCTATCAAATCTACCATCACCCTTTGTCTCAACTACCTAAGACAACAAACAGATGCACCCCTCAAAGAAGAGGATGATTTAGAAGAAGGCGAACTAGAACGCCGACAAGCCGCCGTCACCCAATGGAGAAGGAGAAAGAGTAGTGCCGACATACCAGACCATTCTTCAATCACCAACACCACCACCACAACACCTACTTTTAAATCATGTGATCAACATGCTGTCAACAACAACAACAACAATAATAATAATAATCATAATTCCTTAGATGGCCTCTCCTCTCTCTGCTCTTCTTCCTCTCTTTCTTCTTTATCACATGATGTTGTAGAACCTACCTTTTTGATCAATAATGATGATGACACTGATAGTTTCTGCATCAACTGTAAACAGCTCTTGACTCAGTTGGATGGTCAGATAGAACAAAAGGCTTATTTAAAAAGAGACCTCAATTCACTTGCATCTGCCCTCTCTGAAGAAGAAGAAATTAGATCCACCATTGAACAAGATAAAGAAGCACTCGAAATAGATGTAGGAGACATCACTTCTTCTTTATTCTCCTCTCTCAATCATATCCTCATGGATGAAGTCACAGACCGTGATGGTCTTGTTCAGATCCATCGTGAAACAGGTGGTAAACTCACTTCTGTCCTAGACGCTTGGGACACCAGAGATAACCGTCTGAAACAACTCAAAGATCTCTTGATCCAACTGGATTCCGTAGTGCATCAAAGTGCTAACGGAAGCTGCACACTTGCACATCGTTATTCTCAACCTCAACCCATTGTCTCTCGTTTAGCTAACCGTATCTCACATCCATTACGTTTCTCATCCATCGACCTAAGTCCAAAGCCTTCGAATACCAATACCGTCCGTATCGATGGATTTATCCTGACAGAATTCACAGATCACCTGAAAATTGTGACTGATACATCCACCACGATTCCACCCACACTCTTTATGAAACGAGTGCTTCTGGAAGATATTGAACCCTGTTTGTTCTTTCCACAATCACAAGGTTGGTGGAAATCACCGTGGTTTAAAAAGAAGCTGATTGATGCCATCTCTCGTAATAAGTGTGAGATTCAAGGCTGGCATGATTCACATCATAACAGTAGCGTCTTTTCCAATTATACCAACACCACCAATTCCTCCTCCTCCGTGACCACTTCACCTGCCACTAGCCATTGCTCTTCACAACAGAGCTTGCCTCCCATGGCACCCAAGACAAAATGCGCTTGTTGTAATCTATTGCGTGTATGTGAGTACAAGATGCGTCTACCGATGCCAAATACTTCAAACAAGCTTAAAAAAGTCAACACGGTGCAACCATGGTTACCCATCGACCGTTTCTGTCGAGACCGATTGGTGGCTGTCTGTGGGTTCTATAGCTTTATGTCACATCTCAAGCTGATGATGAGTACACCCACCTTAACAGTTTTTAAGCAAATGATGCATCATCGACGTAAGATGGCGTTGGCCCGTGTTGGATCTATCGGTTTATTTGTGGAGGAAGATGAAAGCGATTACAATGATATCATCAATAAACGACTCAGTAGTGGTGGTGGTAGTATAAGACAACGAAGAAGAAATCGAGAAAGTTTAGTTTTGGATCATTCAGGAAGTGGAAGTGATACAGCAAGTATTGTCAGTGTCAGTGAGATGCAAGGCTTAGAAGGTCAAATCGTCATTGTTCATTAGTCTTTTCTCTTTTTTTTTTTTTTTTTTTTTTTTTTTCTTTGGAAAAAAAAAAATGTATATTCCCTTTTCTCTCTCCTTTTACCCTCTCTCTCTCTCTCTTTAGATATCCCTACCACCTTTGATTATTATTTCTTTTTACATTCATTATATACCACACACACACCCTTTTCTTTAGAATTTTACAAAACACAATTAAAATTTCGATTTGGCCTGAAACACCATCTTTTTTTTTTTTTGCATGACTGTCCAATCAAAAAAAAAACAATTCCCTTTATGTATACCGACTCTCTTCTATTATTTATATTATATTCCTCTCAGGAAATATTTTTTTTTTGTTACATGATAAGCCCAAATCCCCCCCCCCCATTTCCGTTTTTCGCCTCACTAAAGTGGCATTGTTCACCCCCCCCCCCAATCAAATCATCCCGTTACTTTATTTTTTTTAAAAAAATAAAAATATGGGCAGTAAACTGCGCTCAAAAAAGGGTGTCCCCCAACAGTTCCAAATTAAAACGCGCCCCGATGTATAGGATCATCTAAGCTTGTCAAGAGGTCATTTTTTTTTTCCAAAATTACACATCAATGTCATTTATATAAAGACCTTCCCTTCTAAAAATAATAAACCTACACAAACCCCCCTCTTCATTGACAGAGAGGCATGTTACTACTACTAGGTGTCATGGATGACCAAAAATTGCATGATGAAATAAAATAAACAAAAAAAAAAAAAATATCATGCGGTTTGAACTCAGGGCACAAACCCTGTGTTGAAGGGGCGGAGTCAATAATAAGGGCGACACACACAACACAGTCCTTTTGTGTAAACAGTGCTAAAACCAAAAAAGTGACACATACCAATGAAAATGGTAAACATTATATTTTTAGTAGGGTAAACGAGTTTCTAATTAAAAGTAAAGGATTTAGACTTTTTTCAGGGAAAATAATAATGATTCAGTAACAAAAAAAAAAAAAAAAAAAAAAAAAAATTTACTGGTAAAAAAAAAAAGTGTGTGGGCAATTCGGGGGGGAAATTTGATAAGAGTTTATAAATTAATTGCATTTTTTTAGATAAATTAAAAAAAAAAAAAAGGTTTGGGCAACACAAAACAATATGCAACCAATCGAAGCACTGTACTACCTTATATAAATCCAATTTTTCCTTTTGGTTCATTTATATGAGTTACATTTCATTTCATTTTGCAATAAAAAAAAAAAAAAGGGTCTAATATCACACATCAAAAATGTGCGCGCGCCTTTTAACCATTGGAAATACGGCATAACAAGGTAGCACCTTTCGTCTCCCTTTTTTGGGTCATCCCATTTTTTTTTATCTTTCTTTCTTGCGCGAATTGACATTCATGTCATCCATTACAGTGATTCTTTTAAATGCTATATTTCACTGTGGGCGTTTCTTCTTCTTCTTTTAATGAACAAGACACTTTAAAGCTCGGTACGGGGCAGCGTAAAAATCACAGATTGAAGGGAATACCAAGCCTTAAAAGAAGACAATAGACCTTTTTTTTTTTTTTTTGTCTTGTAGCACGTAGTATAAAGACTTTGCATTGATTTTCGAAAAGCTTCTATTCTCCAATACATAGCGTCTTTGCTCTCTAACATAGTCATGATCAAAACAGGACAGAGAGTGGCCACTTTTCTTTATTGATTGATTGATTGATTGGCGTCACCCAATTGATCACTTTTTTTGTCAAAGCCTCTGGCTGAACATATATATTTCTTTCTGCTTGATTGTACGAAAGGAGAACTAATGGAAAAAGTCATCGGTCAACTCCCCCCCCCATCCAGTGAACAAAAAGTGAATGAATGTGAGGCTTGTTTTTTGTTACTGAAACAGGCGTCTGGTCAATGGAATACCCCCCCATGGATCACAAGACGCATTCTTTCCGTTTCTATTGATTGATTTTTTTTAGCTTCACTTATGTTGATAATTTCTTTTAGATCCCAATACCCATAATCAAGGATCATAAAATCGTTAGAGGAGTTAGACAAAGGAACTTGTGCTAGCCTTCATTTTTTTTTATTTTTTTTTATTTTTGCAACACCTCCTTTACCGGTATAAATGATGTATTGATTTGTGATGGATAAACCAATTAAAGATATATGCAAAAAAAAAACCACAAATGCTTCGATTTCACCTGTTCTATTATTTGCTTTTAAAGTGGTGGGAAAAATAAGGAGCTTGGCAATTTTCTTGAACAACATGAACAGTACCTTTGTCCTTCATTTGCAGAATGGATTTACACTTCTCTCAAAAACCCATTATTTGCACAAGATAGGGATTTGGATGTTGGTATACTCGTCTTCTTTCAGTTACAGGCAGTTGATGACGATGTCGTTTTCATGTTTAGGCAATGGAAGCCAGAGTGAGGTTCGAACTTATCCTTTTATACGTACTTTGCTTGAGATGGCCTTTCGTTGCGTATTCGCAATTGGCCCCCCATCCATGATATATTTACTGTACTTCATAATCATTACCCGCATTTATCTAAATTGATATTAAAAGACTGTTTCTTTTTTACAAGAAGATATTTAGTAAAATATTAGACGAGACAGTAATATCGATGACTTTGTGATACACTTTACCCAGTGTAAAAATTAAATGTTCATCAGTACCAAAGAAAGTTTTAAACAAGTAGGCCCAGAATTTTACGATGTAGTCCTCTTTCGGAATACAATTAAATTCGATCCCTGATCAAAAAAAAAACAAAGGGCTTTCGATGGTGTATATTTAAGCTATTGATATATGATGGAAATGTTTAGACCTCCGTATATATATATAAACTACTTACTGCCAAGAACCGGAAAGCCAGTCTGGTAAGACATATTTACGGTGCAATCGTGATATTTACAACCTGTCCATCCAGGGAGTTCCTGGGGGGGAAAACCCTTCTCCCCCAGGAACTCAACCTAGGAGTGGCCAACATCGTCCCATAGTAGAGACTAGCTGTAGCTTTAAATAACGCAAGCATTGAAGTATGTTTTTTTTTTGAAACGAATCATTATTAGTATTTTTTGTAAAAAAAAAAACCCCCTACAAGAAAGCCAGAATTCGGTAGTTGTCTGTCTATCATTACAACGAGCTACTACTACGAATGAATAACGCAATATTTTAGTAAAAAAACAAAAATTCGGTTTTTCTTTGTAGTGCAGACGATAGGGTATGTCAATTGAAGTAAAGAGGCTTCATATCTAAACCATCGTGTGATCCAAAAAATACGTTTGACAAAAAAAAAAAAGCAGAAGGAGGGCTAGACATTTTCATAAATGATTATCAGACATAAAAAATAATAAGCCATCTCGACTGTCCACAGTAGTAGACTGTTCAATACTTATAAACATCATTATCTTTGACCACCCGTTGCTCTTTGTCATCATGCTCATTCGCATTAAAATTGGGTGTGTTAGTTGTGGGTGCTTGATAATTGAGATTCATCATGATGGCAGTATCTCAGACAAACCAGAGCTTGGTGTATGATCATGAATGGCCTATAAAAGGGGAGAGAGATAGGAATTCTAAGTAAAGAAAATTATTATAAGAAAAATAATACATGTACCTGTTCAAGTTTCTTGGGCGAGTACTTTCTGCGAACGGAGACGTGCATTCAATATTTGCCCTTTTAACTCTTCTGTGAGACCTTCATCTTGATCAATTTGGTCCATGAGCTCTCTTATTTAATCAATCTTGATTTAATGAAACTGCGCTAACGGGCATCTCACTGAATTAGATTTCGTTTAAAAAGAAGACCCTAATGATAGTATTGTCTAATTATCTGCAGGAAAAAAAAAATTATTTTTAACCTTTATTCATCTTTAAAAGACGGAGGGTTTTCTTTTTTTTTTTTTTTTTTTTTTGTAAAGCTCGACTCAGATTCAGGGATTCAGTCATGCGTTCTCCATGGTATCAATCATAAAGATTTCATCAAGAAGACTTGCTTTTGACTTGACATTTTTACACTACTAAAACATCCATCTATAGTAATGAAAATGCGATTCATAGGAAGTCCATCTATTTATTGATAGCATACTCAAGTTGTTATGAGTAAGCATCCCTTCCATTTATATAATAAATATTCTTTATTTAATTTTTTCTCTTCTTAAACTCCAATTAACTTTAACATCAATAAATTACTGACAAGAATTCTAATTGATCCTATTGTTTTTTTTTTCTGCAGACAAACCATTGACAAAAAAAAGGGGGGTATCAGTTTTTTTTTTTTTTTAAAAAAAAAAACAATTTAGAATACTACAACTTACTTTTTATTATTAAAGGAAGCTTCAGCCAAATTATGATCTATGAATTCGGTTTTGGGGGGAGATGATAAATGCCTTATCATTCTAATCCTTGTATCCTTTAGCAAGGTTTTTCAAAACGGCGAACCGAGAAATTGTTGAGATATCAATGACAGAATTCAGACAACAAGTATATTTATGATTTTAAGGGCATCATCAAAAACCAACTTCCATCTTATCAACTTTACTAATGAAAATATTTCTGCTTCCTTGTTCACCGGTACAATGCTGCTAGCATGTTTCGTTATATTTTGTTTCTAGAATTCCATTAAAACCTTCAAAAAAAAACAATGCATCTTTGGATGCGTAAGTGATAACAGGCTGTGCGTGACAACAGGACTGTATCATTGCTTAGTTTGAATTTAGTTTTGACTTTTTTTTTTTTTTTATGTGTCGGGATTTTAAATAGATTAAAAAAGGCATTAAATTGCCTTTTGATTGGCCCAATAATTACGTCACCATTATCACCCCAAAAATTTCTCCCCTCTCCCTCAATTTTTTTTTTATTTTTTTTTTTTTTTTTTTTTTTTTTCTATTTCTTCTTTATTGAGATCTGGGGGTGAAGTTTGATCAATCTAGGGTTGGCTGCAGACGTTATTCATGTTTCTCGGGTCAGGTGAGGAGAGATCAAGCTTGCAAAGTTCTTCATGGGGGGGTTGGCTGCGGATGTTATCTTTACTGGGTTTCTCGAGTCAGGTGAACCATGATGAGTTTTGCGGGTCTGGGGGGCAAGTTTTGTCTCATGGGGGGGTTGGCTGCGGACGTTGCGAGAGCATCTCGAGTCAGGTGAACCATGAACAGGCTTATTATTGGGATCTGGG